AAACTTTCCTTTCTTCTCTCTCTCTCTCCCTCTCTTTAATCTTACATTCACTTATTATTATATTAAAGACGGTCTCGTGAACGTTTCGATTTTTCGTTATTACAACAGATGACTCATTTTCCTCGTACTAAAAACACAAACCCGTAAAGTACGCGTACGTTGTTACATTAAGGAAATAAAAAAGAAAGAATATAAAAAATAAAAAAAAACTAAATAAGTAAAAATAGAAGGGTATATGTTAAAGCGGTCAAATTTCCAGTTGACGACGTGGTTTCTAAATTAGACGGAAAGGAAAGGGGAAAGGGAAAATACAATATATAAAAAAAGATAAAAAATAAAATGAAAAAGAACGGGATAGAAATAAAAAATGTTAAAACAACAACAAAAAAGAAAAAAATAGAAAGAAAAACACGGCCAGTTCGCGAATTAAAACGAAATCGATCCTAGCGTATTCTCTCGTATTACAATTATGTCGTACCCGCAACGTTTCGCATTACGAACTTTATAATATTAACCGTCCAACCGGTTTTTCATGAGGCCACTTCTACTAATACGCAACTACGCAGCCGAAGCTTTGCACGATGACAACAACAACAACGGCACTATGACCAAGTTAGATATAGGATTCCACCATCCCATACCACCGAATATCTCTTTCTCTCTCTTTCTCACATTCCTTCTCTTTCTCTCTTATTCTGTGCGCGCGAACCCCCAGAGCTGCATAATAATTTTCCTAATCCTTGAAATACGACGACTCTTCTTGAATCCGTCGACGTGAAAATTAGCTCAGCTACGTGGATATAACGAAAGTGCTCTTAAAAGCATCTTCTTCATGATGGAACTAACTCTTCTCCTCACCTACCGACATTTCTTTTCTTTTTTCTTACTCTTCTTTTTTCGTTTCTTATTCTCCAACGCTTCTTTATACTACACTTATTTAAGAAATAAATAAATAAACAAATAAATACATATACTAACAACAATAAAAAAAAAATAAGAATATGTTTCAAATGCGGATGGAAAAAAATAATAAATTTTAAAGTAAATCTTTTTCATCAATTGTTTGAATAATTTTTGTGCATAAGTTTGTACACGTGTACATATGTATATTTCTTACGTGCATAAATCGAATATTTTATTCTAAATTCGGTTTTTAAAGCAATGACGGGACTGCTTATCCCTTCTTTCTACGCAAGTACGTGATACGAATGAAATACGTTCTCGCAAAATTCCGAATAGCGCTGCAAATCGAATCAGGTCGACTATGAATCTTCCAGAGTGTGAGCGTGTTGGACTAACTCCTTCTCCTTTTCCCTACGAGTTCTGTGTGAGATTTCAGTGAGAACTTTCTAGGAGCCAACGGGACGTTCTAACTATAGACGTAAACCGACGACGCCCAGGGATTTGAAGCTTTGCTATTAGAAACGAGATGGAAAAAGAATGAAAAAAAAAATATAAAAAAAGAATGTGCACACCCTCAAAATCCCCACTTCTCTCGCGTTAAAAGTTAAACTCGTATTATAATATGTGGAAAATAATTAATTTATTCATATATAGAGTTAATGTTCCTCAAAATCTTGCAACATTATGATTACTAGATTTTTCCTTAAAAACTATTAATACAGTATTCAAGATAAAAACAATTTAGAAATAAAATATATTAGTATACTCTTATTACATATTTAAAGTGTTTAAATTGAAAACATTATTTATAACAAGTGAATTATGTAAATGTGAAAATAATTTACTGGTCACTAAAAATCGTACATGTTTATACAATTGGAACATACCCAATTTTTTCGTGTCTAACAATTGATCATCCTTTGTTTTTACTGTTATTTAAATGTATTTTAGCATCAGAATCAATTGACATATCTATTAAAATAAGAATAATATACAAAGTACATTTATCTAACAATATACTTGAAATATTAAACAATTTCCATTTGATATTGTATTAGATGAAAATTTTCAATTCAAAATAATCATCACTGGACAGGAACGTTCAAACAAATGTATATTAGTTTAAACAATTAAAAATGTAAGTAAAATATATTAGAATATTAGACATACCTTAAACGATTGTCAATTAATCGAAAACAATGTATATTGTAATCTAAAAACATGGAGAATTAGTTCGACGTACCTTCCTCTTCGAAATCCATCGTTAAACTGGCACATTGTCCTCTATGAAAGTTATTTTATTAAATGTTGTTTATACGATTCATCCAAAGGTTACATACATATAACGAATGTAATATGCATAGTAAATAAAATTTATTCTTCTGAAAGTCATGTAAACAACAATCAATAAAAAAAATTAGATTAATTTTAATAGATAGCAATGAGTCAAAATTTACAGTGAATTTTTTAAAAGACAGTAAACATCGAACTTATTTATGTTTGTAGACTATTGTATAGATTTCTTTCAATTACTTAATATTCATTTAAAATATGTCGAAGATTCTCAATACTTTGCCACATCCCCACCCATCTTTTTATAATATAAACAAATTACTCTGATTGACTGTGAATTCAATGTCACTCTTGCTCATCTTATCTGAATGTTCTCTCTCTTTTCATGTCGTTTTAAATAACATTTTATCATTACTATCGCCTGAAAAGTTAGAATAATTAGAATTTTAATTGTTTGATTGAAATTTCAATAATTAGAAATTTTTCAATCACGTATTAGATAATTAATTGTTTAAATTTGTCTACGTACAAATGAAAAATAATATTATATTGGGTACTAATTGAATACGATAATATGATACACTTTTATTTATTTGATGAATATTTTAAATAAATTGATCAATATTTATGATAGAAACTGGGTTGTGCGTTGATTTTACTGACAGCATATTTTATTAAATTATAATTTTTGATTACTTTTTATTATCATATTTAGTCGAGATGCACACGCACAATATTTATGGTGCAATTTATATTATTCAAATATTGCAAAAAAGTAAAATTAATATTTATATTTAATTTTTCATTTTACATTGATTATAACAACTTAAAATTTTACGACGATAATTCATTTTCTATTAACGCAACAACAAAAAAATAAAGAACACTATTTTTCGCATAGATATTTTAAAAAAATATTGTTCATTGATATTTGATCATTAAATAAATATCAAATTCATAATTTGATCATTAAAAAAAATATTATATAATAATAATAATAATATGACACGATTCATTTGTTAAGAAGAGAATCGTCGGGAAGATCGCAGGAAGTGGTTAATATAATGTAAAATGTGTTGTCTGTGTGTATGTGCGTGACAAATTGTTTTACCCTTTCCTTCTCCCTTCATTCACACTGGCTTCCGTTTTAGAGAGACGCACGCTATCTAATTTAACTCGAGATTAATCAGCCCGAACTTTGCCAATCGGCCGTTTAAGCAGCAATGGCGGCGGCAACGACGACGACGACGAACGATATCAGAGATTGGTTGACATTTAACTGCTTAAGAAAAAGAAACTTTTGCCTTCTAATTCGGCAAATCGATTTCTCGAGTTTTACTTAATAAGATTTAAACAAATAGAAAAAAGAAGACTTATTAAGGTTTCTTTTCCTCGTTCGTATATCGCGAATTGACAAATTAAATAGAAAGAAAAAAGAAAAGGAAATAAAGAAAAAAAAAATTAACGAAGGTGAATTATTATATGAATTTTGTCTTTTTTCGATAAAAAAAAACGCGTATCACGATGATTATCGTAAAATCACGGATCGATAATGATAAGGGTAAAGCATAACCACTATGCCACAAAAACCACAATATAGTAGATAATATGATAACGACAAGCTTATTAAGTAATATCGATAAATATGGATGCAGAGTAGACATAAATATGCAATACAATATAATATACGAACATATGTAGATAGATGATATATTCTAAATAACATTTATCTCGCGATTCATTAATTAACATTATTTCTAAACCCGTCATAAGTGGACACGCCTCTGAGCACATACGTAAAAGATAATAAACGCATTTGCAATAATAATTATTATTAATATTAATCGAAATTAGTCGAATTAATTAATTTCTCCATCAATTAAATAATTCCTAACAATTTCTATTATTTAAAATATATATAATTTAACAATTAATTACATTTTTCGTTAAATTAACAACCAGAAATGAAAGTGTGCGTTAACAAATTATTCACGCTAGAATGTTGTAAACGTTAAAAGAGAGGAATAGCGAAATGGAGAATGTGACGTGGTGATTCGGCAAATGGGCAAAATTTAGTCAGACATTTACATAACGACTCCATACGGACCAACGATTAGTATCGCGACTAATTATCTAATTAACGATATAAATGTTTCAAGACTATCGAGAACGAGCTTTTAATCCTATACTCTTCGTCGAATAAATCGTTGTTATTTCGTTATATATATCTTTATATGTATATAAAAATTCAGTGCCACATTGTTGGTTTCCAATAAACTTCGAAACTACTGAACCGATCTTAATAAATATTTTTTTTATTTTGTGTTATCCATTTCAACTTAGTATATAGGATAGTTTGTATCGCAATTAATTTTATTTTTTATTACAAATTTAAAGATTCATTATTTAGAGGTTATCCAGGTCTCTAGGTTGTTTAAGTATTCAATAGATGGCGTCGTATTTCAATTCAATTATTTCAATTTACATACGACATAACCTTACTTTTTCTATTTTTTCGTATATTATTAGTTTATGTATTCCATTCTTATTGTGGTATTATTTTATGGAATTATTTATAATTTACTAAATAGTTTAGAATTATATTAATACGACATTTTATAACAAAGCCACAACAACGCGTGACTGGAGCATCCTATGAACATATAAATAAAAAAATAAAAACTTGGTCAAACTTTTCCATTCCTGCTCAAAAATAAAAAGAAAAATAATAGTTAAAAATCTTTCATTTAAATTCGTAAAAAACGCGAGTTTAACATTTCTTTTTCAAAAGCTTTGATACTCACATGTCTCGTGTCCGCCGCGAGCAGAGGTGTGTGTGCCTGTAACAACGAGTGCCGAGGGCATTAGACAAGGATGATCGCGCGTTAGATCGATGTTTCTTCTCTTACTTTCGTTAATTTGAAACGCATATCATGCTGAAAATAAAAATAAACAAAAGAGAAAGGGAGAAATAGAGATAAAGATAGGATAGAGGAGGAATACGCAAGAGTCATTCATTCGAAGCACCGCAGCATAAAATTTAATGTTGGAAAAGCATGCCATTCGTGCGCGCTACGCATTTACATTCGCAGACGAATACCCTCCCTTCCCCCTTTTCCACCGGTGCGGAAAGTTTTCATGCAGAGCTAAATTAACTAGAACTAATTCGCACAACTCCTGTATTCCGCATTCTTTTCTCTTAACTATTGTAATATTATAATGCGTTTAATATGAAAAATACTATAAATGTAATACTAAATAATACTGAAATTACTATAAATGCCCTTGGCTAATTTTCTTGATATATATATGTGTATATATTATTTTTCTTTTTTAATAATATTTAATAGATTTCTATTAATTAAATCAGTATTTATAATAAAGTATCAAATTGTATTATAACTAATTATAAATTATTATTTTTATAATAATATTATTTAATAAAATATTGATCAAATCAATGAAAGGTTATTATAATAAATATTTTCTTGTTGAGATTTTATTTCATGGTAGTTAATTAATGTTAATTATTATAATAACAGATTTATTTTAATTATATGAAATAGTTAAGCAAATAGACGACTTTTATTTATACTTATAAGTCTAGAGGTGAAAGGAGAATGATTTCTTTCAAGCGTGTAAGAAGAAAAAACGAAAAAAACGCAAAACAACAACACGCTTCGCTTCCTTTAAAGCAAGTGGAAAGTACTCTCGTGCTATTTTTCCCCGAAGTGAGGAAAACTCGGGCGACGAAATCATTCCGCGAATACTAACCTCTCGTGAGATCATCAAACGTTTTATGATTCGATTTAACGCTTTCGTAGAAACGAGCAAGCAGCTTCCTTTCCTTCTGTCGTATATATTACAGACGAACCAAAGGGTTGATCAAATTTCATTAACTTCGTGAGACTCTTACTTTTATTTTCGCGAAAAGTGTATTACTCAAGTTAAAATTATGTCTTCCATGATTATGACACATATGTCTAATATGTTTTTCTTTTCTCTTCTTTTTCTTTCCCTCTGTAAATTATTGCAAATAATTTTCAATTTGTTTTTTTTTTTTTTACAAATTATTACTTGTAATTTTCTTTTATTTTTTCATTCGTGTATAATGGCACAGAAAAAAAGTTAAAACAAAAAAAAAGGAAAGTCTTGCAAAAAAAAATCGAAATAATTATTCGTATAATACCTGCAGATATAAAAAATATTTTTGTCAACAAATATTTAAAAAATGATCCATTCTCAATCGAAATATTCCTATTTCATTATATTTTTTTCTACTCGTAGATAGTCGAGGACAGACCGCTTTCCTAATTGCAATTTATTGCAACTTCCTGCGATTCCATTTATTGGGAAACGAAACACCTCGAGAAGAATCGTTCGATAAACGTAGATTTATCTTTCTCTCTCTCTCTCTTTTCTCTATCTATCGTTCGTTTTAATTTAATTGCGATTGAAATTCTATGCTTACGAATTTATCGAACGTTTGCATCGAAATAATTGTCAATTAAAATCAAATTGCGGATAAATGAATAGAGAAAAGCTAAAAAAAAATATAAAGAATTCGATCTAATACAACTTTGAATAAGAAAAAGAGAGAAAGAGAATGAGATAGAGAGAGAGAAAAAAAAATTTCGTTTTACACGACATTCATCACGATATTTTTTTATTCATGAAACGTCGAACGATATATGATTAGAGCCTCTCCTTCTCCCCCTCTTTCTCTCTCATCCCCTGTCTCTCTTTCATTTCTTTTGTAAGGAATATAAGCAGTGTATTCAATTTACGAGAAACTCGGGACCTTGTGTTCTTGCTGGAAAATCTATTTGCAAGGGAAAGTTGAATTTCGTTTCAACTTGTATAGAAGGATGGGAAGAGAGAGTAAAAAGCTAACCCCCCCCCTCAAACGAAATGTTTATCTATAGAATATTCTACTTCGTGGTCGATCGTCGAATGTTAAATTACGAATACATATATACCCCATATGAATTGCTGGCTATATATATACCTTCGTTATTTGGATAAGCAACTTGAAGTACTTGAATATCGAATTTGAAAATGTAGCTAGTAAATTTGACCGTTTGTAAATATCAATAACGATTTTCTCGATTCTTTAGTTGAATTTGTTTTCTTCCTATTTTATTTTCTCTGTCAATAGAAATAAACATTTATTCTCTCCTTTTCTCTCTGACACGCACGCACGCACCCACACACACACATAAATTCTCTCTCTCTTTTTCTCACTCACTCGTTATCGTTTTTCCTCCATTCTGTTTTATATACACTCGGAAGGTATCGCGTTTCAAGTTGCAACGTCGTTCCTTACCTTCCCACGGGAAAATCGCGAGATTGAATTTTCTTTGAGAGAAAAAGAGAAAAAGTTGGTGAGTAAGGGGGAAAAGGAGGGGGATAGGTAGTAGCGAGCTAAAGAAACGATATATCGAATAAGTCGGTGGTATCAACGGGAAACCAAGTGTACCACCCGGATCAGAGTGACATTGGACCGGATGTGTCATTCAACTTGACGACCAAGATAAAGGACTTCTCTCTCTTTCTCTAGCGATTTTTCAAATTCCTTTAAAGGTAGAAATTTTTATCAATGAAGGAACTACTTTTTTATTGCTATTGCTGAAAATGTATATTAAAATTTGAAGAGTTTAATTGCGATAATTGTATCAATATCGTTTATTTTTTTATTAAAATCATCTAATTACCAGATTAACAATACTACGATTATACGAAGTTAAATAAATCCCTATGAATTGTTATTCAATTGATAATGAACAACAAGTAGATTTGTTAGAAGTACTCTCTGTACGATGTCGCATTTGTATTAATTTGTTTTATACTTTTTAAACCGGTTGAATGGTCCGTAAATTTTGTTCTTTATATTATATTTTTCGTAAAAACGTAAAACGTAATAGAAAAATTAAATTTTTCAATTTGTTACGTTAGAATAATTCTATCTCGATTTGTCACAACGTTCAAGTGTTTTACTCGTCGTTCGAACACTTTTATAGAAATTCACCAACGTAGAAGTACATACATACATACATACATATATACATACATACACCCACACGTTAGGAGTTTTCGACATTATCCTCTTCATCCTCGTTGGTTGATACCCCCAAATAGACACAAGTTTTCGAGAAATAGAGGAGGAAATAAGAGAGGAAAATTACGAGGTGTCTCTTTTCTAAAGACGTGTTTCCTCTCTTCTCATCCTCATCCTCGTCCTCTCTTTATGTGCTTTCCTCCGTAGAAAGAAAGTTCGAGTTCGTTGGAGCTTACCTTTCATCGTACGAGAAGATAAAATAAAAAGAAAATAAAAAGAAAGAGAACGATTGTAGCACAAAAAGTAAAAGGAGAAAGAGAGAAAGAGAGAAAACATCGTGTAGACGAAAGTTGAATAGTAATTAATTATACGAGCTTGTCGTGTCATCATCTCATGTTAGAATATAAAATTAAATTACCTTATACATGGTATTTTAGTTCCTGTTCGCTACCCAAGGAAAATGACGATTCTTATCCCACAGTTTTTCTACAAAAAGTCTTCAACAAGAGAGAACATCTCTTCTTCTTTATTTTTCATTTACCGATCGGAAAAGTGTACTTTCCTCCTAAAAGTCTTTTCACGCATAATTGACTCGTTGATGGATGATACTATGATAGTTAAACTAGTTGTAAGTTATACTTATAGATATACATAGGGTGAGTTAGCAAAAGTTATGTTAAAATAATTTTTGGAGGACTATTATTGACAGTTCTGTTAAATTCTAACGTATTTTTAATAATAGTAAAATTAATTATATATTATTAATATTATAGTAAATTATATTATTAATAATATTAATTACAAATATTATAATTTAATAATAATAATTGAAAATAATTTTTTGAGTTACGTTATATTACAATTATTATATTTTTTTTTTTTATGTAATATTAATTAGGATTGCGTGAAATTATTTTTGCATCGAAAAATATCAAGATTTTTAGAATAATATTGAAACAGTGAAATGTTAGAAACATTTGGGATAAATTTTGAATCTTAATACCATAGAGATATTACAGATAGAAGAAACAAACCATAGGCGGTTGTGTAAGTGGAAATGTCTCAGCATGAATATAGCAGCAAAAAACGAAAGGTTGATGTTGTCTCTCTTTAACTCATGCGGTACACATATTTATATATCACATATATATATAACGCAAGAAAGAACAAAAAACTCGCAAGTTAGAAAGAGACAACATCAACCTCCTATCTTCTATCTCTTTTTATTTCGCCGACAGGTTTTATGCTGGCTTGTTTGCTCTATGTGTAGTATTTCTATGCTTTTAATACACCTTTATAATTATAAATTGAAATAAAATCCAAGAATACTGATATGCATAAATAACATTTGGCATAAACGAAAAATTATATAACGTTTTCTAACAATTATTAATTTTACTTTTGTATAAAAATGAAAGATAGATTATAACGATTGTAAGATACTGTTTGTTTAATTCCTATTTAACGAGAATCTAAATTTATCATGAATTTCTTCATTTTTTTCGGTCATATGAACAAAAAAAAAACACCATCCACTTTTTGAACCCGTTGAAAATAGTCAAGACTTTGAGACGCGACAGACTCTCAAGTTCGCGAACTTTTGTTTTGTTGAAAAATTCAAGGGTAGAAAAGCCTTTAGTAGAAGAGTTTTGGATTTACGTTGGATTATTTACCCGACTCCTCTTTCTCGTGAAAATATACGAGGGAACCTTCAACAGTGTCCTCGGATTTCATAGTGTCTAGTATTATACTTAATGGGTGTGTGTCCTTCTTCTTCTACTA